GAGGCACAGGGTCCCCTTGAGCCTGTCAGCAGGCCTGGAGGGGTTAGTAGCCTGAGCACAGCCCAGGTCAGCTGCGCAGGTCAGCAGGCCACTGAAGTGGGCATTTGGTCAGATCAACAGAAGCATGGAGATGAGAATGTGGGAGTATATGCAGTCTGTTCTCACCGCACCCTGTGGCTCCTGTGTGCCTGCCTGTGTCCTGAGTCAGGGAGAAGGACGAGCTGGATTTGGGGTTGAGTGGACCTAGAGACCTGTCCTGCGAGGGCCACCCGCTGAGAGAACAGGCCCCAGCAAGCCTGCCATGCTAACATGGGTCAGCTGGGCCGCTAGGCCTCGAGGCTCAGGGGCCAGATGGGGACTTTGAAGGGCCCGCAGCCTGAGCCCAGTCTCTTCCCAGGACCTGGTGGAGCTAGAGGTGGTGCAGCTGCGGGCGGTGAGGATCCGTGCACCCATCACGCGCATGAGGACGGGCACCCAGGTGAGGACCAGTCGGGATGGGGCTCCGTGTTCTGGTTCTGACGAAGCCATTGTGAGGGCACTTCCCTGGGCCAGAGCCACGTGTCCATGGTGCCCAGCTTAGGCTCGGTTCTGGGCCTGGGGTGGGGTGGGCGTGCAACACAAGCATAGCGTCTCCCCTTGGGGTCCACTTGGCCTCCTCCCTGAGGGCGAGGCTGCCCATCCCCCACCTTGGGTAGCACCTGGAGAGCAGGAGCCCCTACCCCGTGCACCTGTGAGGTTGGCCGGTGAGCGATGGACGTGGATACCCCGAGTCCTGTGCACAGCCAGGGCTGCTGTCCTTGGCACCCAGGAGGCCTGCTTCCCAGAGCCCCTGCCAATACCAAGACCTAAGAGTGCCCTCGTCCTTCGTGTGAAGCGCCCCGTGGGTGCAGGGGCCTGTGTGTCCTCCCATGCACCTGGGGTTGTCCCCAATGTCCCCAGCATCCGCAGGGCAAGTCAGTTCTCAGGCCTGTGCAGCTGGTTGCGGGTGTGGCTAGCACTGCGTGTCCCCAGTCTGCCACCTGGAGTCGGGCTGGGGGCCAGCTGGTGGCCAGCTGGTGGCCGGCTCACCTACGCCTGCCCACAGGCTGAAGGAGCCGGGCTGCCGGTGTCCACGCCCCACAAGGCCTGGGAGGGTCAGCAGGAGGGTGCGGACCTCGGCAGCATGGGCTGAGTGGCCAGGGGTGTCCGCAGGCCTCCTGCAGCCCCAGGGGTCTTTCCAGAAATGGACCTGGCCATGCACAGCCCCTGGCAGGGAGGGACAGGCCGGTGCCCGGTGGTTGGACTATCTGGTGTTTGGTCATGGCTCCCAGAACCTATGTCCGGCCTGGGGTGGACATGGGCAGATAGGCAGAGCTCCAGGAGGAGGGTCCCCAGCCTGGGTGCGTGGGTGCTCACAGGCCCGGCTCTCTCACCCCCAGATGCCCGTCTATGTCACTGGGGTCACCAACAACCAGAGCCCTTTCTCCTTTGCAAACGCCGTGCCAGGCCTGACCTTCCACTGGTCGGTCACCAAGCGCGACATCTTGGAGCTCTGCGGACGGCACCACGAGGTAGGGCCCAGCCTGCCTCCCGGAGGGCGGGCGGCCTCATCGCCCCGGGGGCCTGTCCCACGGCAGGGGACACAGGGCCCGCTGCAGGACACACTGTGGCTTATCACAGACGTCCTGCAGTGGGCCCTGTGGGGGACCCCACAAAACCCAGCAGCCCCCACATAACACTCCCAAGCACACACAGGGCTCCAGGCCCCGCTCAGTGACCCCGCGTCCCAGGCACCATGCAGAGTGGCCGGTGGCCTTGTGTGGGTGACTGCCGTCTGTGTGGCCCTGGGTCAGCAGATCTGACCCCGGCCGAGGGCAGTGGCCTTGGGGAAGAGGGTGCCCCCAGGCCCGTCCCTGAGCCCGCTCTCTGCCTTCAGGCGTCCGTCCAGCTGCCCTCGCAGTACAACTTCGCCATGAGCCTGCTGGGCCGGGCCAAGGGCCGCACGGGGCTGAGGGTGGTGGTCAAGGCCCTGGACCCCTCGGCGGGACAGCTGCACGGCCTTGCCAAGGAGCTCTCGGACGAGATCCAGGTCCAGGTACTGACGGGACACAGCCGTGAGGGCAGCAGACAGCGCAGGGGCCTGGCCCAGAGCTCCTGGGCCCTTGGTGTGGGGGACCCTCGCTGCACTGAGGGGCTGCGCCTGCCTGGGGAGGACGGGCAGAGGGGGTGTGTGTCACCCTGGGGGGAGCCCAAGGGTGGTGTCGCCAGACTGCATGGAGGGACTCTGCCGGTGGCAGGGTTGGCTGCAGATCTGAGCAGCAAAGGCCTGGTGACCGGGAACAGCCTGTGGGTTCCAGGAACAGCAGCTGGGCCTAGTTCAGGAGAGGGCGGGGCCTGCTCAGGGGAGGGTGGAGCCTGCTCAGGGGAGGGTGGAGTCTGCTCAGGGGAGGGCGGAGCCTGCCCATGGGAAGGTGAGGCCTGCTCAGGGGAGGGCAGGGCCTGCTCAGGGGGAGGGTGGAGCCTGGCTCAGGGGAGGGTGGAGTCTGCTCAGGGGAGGGTGGGGCCTGGTTCAGGGGAGGGTGGAGCCTGCTCAGGGGAGGGTGGAGCCTACTCAGGGGAAGGCGGAGCCTGCTTAGGTGGTCAGGGGCCCTGCTTGTGGTCAGGGGTCAGGCCTTGGGTGGGGCCTCATGACACAGGACCAGCTGCCTGGAGGGCAGGGAGCCAGCTGCCCTATGTGGTCTGGAGAGGGAATGTAGGTGGTGGGCTCCCTAGGAGTCCTGCTGCCCCTGTGTCCTCCGGGAGCCCTCGAGCATGGCAGAGGGGACGGAGCCGGATGGGCCACAGCAGAGAGAGAGGCTTGTTCTGAGATGGTGACAGGGACAGGATGTCTCAGTGGCGGGGGTCCCCCGAGCAGGACGCCGGGCCTGATCTCCCTGCTGTGGAGTCTCCTGTGATGGGGGCCGAGGCCGAGGCCGAGGGTGAAGCCGGGTGGCCCAGCTCCCACGGGGTGCAGACAGCTGCTGCTCCTGGGCTGGGCCACCAGCCCCATCGTGTCCCCAGCCATGGGGCAGATAGTCTGCCGTTGGTCTCGTCCTGGCCCCCAGCCCCCACTTGTGGATAAGGGGACTCAGGCGTGCCGTGGGAGACCCAGCTCACCCTCTTTCCCAGGTTTTCGAGAAGCTGCGGCTGCTGAACCCCGAGATAGAAGCAGAACAAATATTAATGTCCCCCAACTCGTTTATCAAGCTCCAGACAAACAGGTACGTGTCCCGGCTCCTGTTCACAGCAGGGCTGGGAGCTGCCCCCCCATGCCCATCTGGACACCACGGGGCCTTCTGGGCACTGGGCTGGGCCTGGGCGGCCACTGCCCATCTCTGGCCTCCTCCGGGGCCGCCCTCCTACCGCAGCCTAGAAACATCTCCCACTCACGGGGGAAGCTCGGGGTTGAAAAGGGGAACAAGTTCCAACTTGGACTGTTAAATATTTCAAATGACTCAGAAGCGGGGCCCATGAATTAACCAGAGCGGCCTCACCTGGGACCAGGTCAAGTGCGCCTCGCAGCCCTGCCCAGACCCGCAAGGACAAAGCTGCCCTGTAATGAGGTCCCTGGGCGGTGGCCATGCACATTAACGTCCGAAAAGTGCATCTTTAAAGGTTCTGAGCAGATGTGATTATTCCCACCTGACCCTCACAGGGACAGGGACACTTTTCCTAAGGAGCATTTGCGCTTAAGTGGCAGTTGCTAAGGGCCCGGGGGCCGAGTTCCATGTTTTATGAACGCACACCCAGGGAGTGTTCAGCCGGAAGTAACTCAGTGCCCAGCACTGTGCTAGGCCCCAGGAATGCAGGCAGAGGTGGATGGCACGAGGTGACATCAGGTGACAGCAGG